CGGGAGGGTCGTTCTGTTCGGGGTAGTGTCAGCGTGTGTGTGTGTCCGCCCAGGCCCTGCGGGAAGTTGGTTTTGGGTGGCGGCTACATAGCTGCTGTTGTCGCTTGGTATTAGCAAGGTCCGGCTGCGAGTTGGCCGAGCGGTAACTGAGCCGGCGTCGCTATGCCCGAGCTACGAATCATCTATCTATCTGATCGTATCCTATGTATCTACTTCTATCTATCTCATATATCCTAGTCTTCTATGCTATCTCTAGTCTTACGGTGCTTCACTCTATCTAGTCACGCCCGCTTCACACACAAAACCCTGATCTATGCTACTCGCCAGCTATCCACGTCATTCTAGATCGTATTCGTATCTATCTACTCCTATCGCAGCAGCTCTATCTATCTACTCCTAGTTCGGAGGTCATCTATCTATCTATCTATCGATATCTACTCTTCATCTAACTATCTATCTATCCATATCCTAACTCCCACCGTCTAGTCATGAGCCGTACTTATCTATATCGATCTATCCTATCTATCTACTCCCCCATCTATCTATCTCATCATCTATCCCTGATCCTCTATACTATCTATCCCTCCTTATCTTATTGCTACTATCTAATCTATCCTACTCTATATCCCGATCTACTCTATCTTATCTATCTATCTATCTATCTCATCCCCTATCCCTATCACTATCTCTAGTTTGTATTTCTCTATCTATCCTATCTATCCCTCATCTACTATCTATCTAATCTCTTATCTACTATTCTATCTATCCGTATCTATCTATTCTATCTATCTATCCTATCGATCTATCTATCCTGTCTATTGATATCTATCTATTCTCTCTATCTAATCTATCTATATATTATATTATATACTATATATATATAATATCTATCATCTATCTATTATCCATCAACCACTACGGGTATATCACTATCTATCTATTCTCACTTACTCGCTTCCTATCTTCTACATCTATCTATCTGGCTATCTATCTATCAATCTATCTATCACTATATATATATATATAATATATATATAATATATATTTATATAGATAGATAGATAGATAGATAGATAGATAGATAGATAGATAGATAGATAGATAGATAGATAGACAGATAGATAGATAAACAGATAGATAGATAGATGGAGTGAAGGAATGGCAGAGGGGTGAGAGAGAGACGTGTAATGTAGATCAACATGGTTACATGTGTTTATCATTGAATTCGCCATATTCGTCCATCAGCTGCCGCCATTCTCGGATCCTCTCAAAGGTTTCAGGTTGATCCATTGTGAAGATGTGATCAAGATAACCGTGTTCATCCTAAATATGAAATCCGTATAAATAACGAAATCGCCGTGATTCGGGAGGTACGAAACTTTTGTTCTAACTCTGTTGCAAGCATTTACTGTATTGCTAGCAGTTGTAATGCGCAAGTGTTCCATATAACTCACATCTTGAGCACCTAGGTTGTTACTGAGAGGCTCGTCAGGATAACCAGGTTGCTCGTGCAAGTGAGAAACGGCATCCATTCTGAAGCCATCGACTCCTTTGTTCATCCAGAATCGGAGAACATCCTGCAGATATAAAAATATATATTGTACGTATATTTGGTTAGAATTTACACTATTGGCGTCAATGTGCCTTCAGAAACTTATAGTATAGCGTTATGTCATGTGTTGTGTATGCCATGTGTTGTGTGTTGTGTGTTGTGTTATGTTATAGTTGGCGTATAGTAATATTGCCTGTTAACAGTCACTAGACCTTTTCACCCGAACTCATTAATTTCTATACAAAATGTTCGGTATTACAGGCTAATTCATCGGACAAAAAAGAATGTTGCGAATGACTGAATGAAAGAAAGACATAAGGGAAGAAAGAAACAAAGGAAGAAACAAAGAAAGAAAGAATGTGCGAATAGGTGAATGAATGAATGAATGATGGAATAAATATATAAATGAATGAATGAATGAATGAATGAATAAATGAATGATTGATTGAATAAATGAATGAATGAATAAATGAATGAATGAATAAATGAATGAATGAATGAATAAATGAATGAATGAATAAATGAATGAATGAACGAATGAATAAATAAATGAATGGATTAAATGAGGAACGAACCAACTCTCATACTTTCATTTCTTGTCTGACTCTCTCGTTGTTATAATTGAGATCCGGTTGTTCTTTCAGGAACTGATGAAGGTAGTATTTCGCTCGATCGTTGACCCACTCCCAGGCGGAGCCACCAAATGCGCTAAGCTAAGCAGGTAGTAAGAGGAAATAATAACGTGCGCTTCGTGGTATGACACCGAGAATGGCAAGGTCCGAAGTGCATGGTATGTGATCACCAATACCTATATTTCCTATGGATTGTATGGCTTATTATTAGAAGTAAGTGTGATAGAAAAACAAACTCTTATGTGTTATAATAATTACCAACTTACAGCTGGCAAATCGTGTTGCAATATAATTGCAGATTTTCGGTGGAATGTAAGTGTGTAACGAAAAACACTGCAACGATGTATACCCAGTTGTTTGGTGGACAACCCTGCGGTTCCATGTTCATGCACGCATCTTTACATATCAAGGTCTTGCAGTCGCGTTTATCCGCCCAAATATAGTAGTCGGTGTAGTTGTTCGGATCAATTTTTTTACTCTCAGTGAACCAGCGATGCAGGTCACTTGTATGGTTCGGCACAAAGTCCATGATGACTTTGAGCCCTGTTTCAGAAGCAATCATAATTGAGCCTATCAATTCAAAAGCGTATATATTATTATTAAACAGAGTGGGTGCTGGATATCATTCATATATGCATTATCAGCTAGCTACCTGTGTGCATATGTATGTATGTATGTATGTATGTATGTATGTATGTATGTATGTATGTATGTATGTATGTATGTATGTATGTATGTATGTATGTATGTATGTAT